GGATGATTTCAGCCAGTTGAAGTGCAGCTCCAGGCTAGGGGACAAATAAAGATACTTTGACCTTGACGTTTAATTTAAAGTCATTCAATAACCAAACACCAACATGATTCTATCTTGGGTGTTTACAGTCTTCATTATGGCGTTTGGTCACTATTGTTCTTCTCAGGCCTCCACTGATCTACTGGCTGTTTTCATTATGGAAATTAAATTGAAATAAAGTCCCATTATAAATCTGGGTTAAAGGGGAATCAAAGTAAAGGGGGTGAGCTTACAGATAACTGTTAGGAAAAGGCACACTTCAGTTGTGTTTTTAACATAAGAAAATGTAAAAACCTTTATGGGGTATACATGCTTCTGAAACGTACTGTAGGCAGAAAACTGGAGAGTCTTCATTAAATAGTGTTTTGGTGCCAAATGAGCTGCACTCTGGCCCATTGGATTTAAAAATAGACGCACAAAGCAGACTGTGAATATTTTAGGCAAAGATAAAAGATGTCAAATGACTGTTTGCAGCATTGATCACGATTCTGTGGGCGCCTACCTGGTGACAGCTCCTCTTTCTGCCAGTATGAAGGCAGCGGTGGGGTTAGCCGAGCGTACCAACTGCTGAACATGCTGCATGAGAGGGTGCTTCTTCTCTGCTGTCAGCCCAGTGAACACCACTGTACTCACAATACCTTGCATACAACACAGCAGAGAGAAAATGTGAACTCGAGAAGAATAAGGATCTCTTTTCCCTGCGAATACAGAGCCGTGCCCGTTTCACCACAGCTGATGTACCTGATTTCACACTAGGTTTGATTTACTGGTATTTGTTGCTTTGTTTCTTTTCAGAAAGAAAACTTATGTGGCATTTTATTCCTTTCAGCTGGTGGGAAAAAACCAAACATCAAACAAATTGTAAAAAAAAAGGGGGTCGATGGAGTATTTTAACAGCAGTCGACCATAATCCCTTTCTTTGTCCAAAAACAGCAGGACTAACCTTGACTGCACTGTTCCAACAGCTTGGGGAAAGCAAACCTGAAGTGAAAGGCAGGAGACAGAAGACCAGAAGTTAAATTTAAAAGACACTGGGAATAAAGTAAGAGATGACTGCTATACATACTAATAGATTTCTGTGACTGAGGCATGGAGGGATCAGCGGTGCTGCAACAAAGTGGTTCCATGTTACTGCCCTTGGTTAGTGAGGGGATTATCCATCACAAGCACTTTTATGGGATGACATCAATATTTTGATGGACAACAGAGTAATGTAAAAGCTTCCTTTAATCATAATCACAAATCTTATTATTAGAATTTAGCCTGTCAGACTGATCTAAGTCACAGGTAGATTTTTTTGTTAACCTTTTTGAGCAAGTTTCCCAGCTACGGCTACAAAAACACTCTTGGACATCAGGCAGGCCGAAGGATCAGTAATTAGAAAGGCATTTATTTTTCCTGTCTCCATGTAATGAATCGCTTATATCTATCAAAAGTAAGAGATCATGTATGCCTGATGAGCCTCTTTCAGAAGGGTGCATTGGTTACAAATGTGGATCTGGAGGATTAAAGAACTACGCTGAAGGGTTGACAGTGAGGTCAGGCCTAAGCTGAGCTAAACTCGCCCAATTAGCATCAATACACTTATCGCTATAGACAGAGTGAAGAAGTTTAAAATCTCCTTGAGATATGAAAAACCTAATATTCTTTTTCATAGTTATTTTGCAAATATAAAAATCTGTCTATTATTTATATAAATTGATCAATAATCAGATAGCCACTTAAAGAGCTCTGGATAGAGCATATTGACGGACAAATAAGGTTTTTCTTCTTAATACCAAAAAGTAAAAAATATATAAACATTTTTCATTTATTACTACTTTTGAATCTAATGGCATGTTTTAGAGCCTCTATACTCCATTCAAGGAACTATCGATTAGTAAATTAGTTGATTATGATTTCAATAATCCATTAATCGAGATTCAACTGTTGTTCTTGTTTCAGCCTTAGTTAAAGGATTTAACTGTATTGCCTATTCATTTATCTGCATCCTCTTGACCCTTTTCTCCCTGTTTGCCCTCTAACACTCTCTTCAAATGTTGTGGCCAGAACAAGACACTGTTGTATTGACAATAATTCAATAAGAGTCAACTCTTAACTGGGAGAAACTTTGAATTTCCGTATTTATGCAGAGAAAATCTGCTACTAACACCTAAACTAACCAAAGTAATGCCCATCTTAATCTTTAAAGACAGACACAGAGAAAAGAAATAAAAGGACATGTGAGCCTATGTTAATCTTTATATTAAGTATACTGTAGCAGCCTTCTCATCTCGGTCCTAATAAGTAAAGTGCAACATCATATTATGTATAGAGGCTTCGTCAAAATACGACAAGGACAATAACTGTAAGCTGAATCAAAAGCCAGCAACAAAAGCAGAGTGAGATTAAATGTAGGGATGATCCTCTCTAAAAAAAATAAAATAAAAAGATCCAGCCTTTAGCTTTAATAGCTGAAAGTGACATGTAACCCTGATGTAAAAACATCCTGTGATCTCACAAATGTATCAGCAGACAGTCCAACTTTAATCTTCTTTATAACCACATGTTACTTGAAAGCACAAATACTGTTCCCTGTTAGCTTAACTGTTATGAATGCGCACAAAAAACAAAACAGTACAGAAAAATCCTTGCAATGGTATCGCTCCCCCCAAAGGTTTTGTTCATATTCAGTTTATTAAACCACAATCATAATTGAGATTAAATGTTGTAGACCAACACAAAGGAGTTTACCCTTTATCATTACAACAAATCTGAAAATACTCCCAGCTGATGCTAAACTTTAAGAAAACACACTAGAAAACTGAGAGCTTACACATGAAAAAAAACTTCCTGTTAAAAAGCAGAGATCTTTTTTTTGCAACTATTTTACGTGATGGTGTGTTTGAACAGAGCAGCTGTATTCTTTATTTTACAGACAGCCAGATGGAGATCACTCAACTCAGAGGAGTTGTGATCTGTTTTGTTATTCATTTATGTTGCCGCAGAAAAGGTCTTTTCGGACAGATATATGGATGCAAATGGTAATAGTACATCAGTTACAGCTTTTGACAGCGCTGCATACTCTATTGCTACTGACAACCAGAACTCTCCCTTCAAGCATGCAGAGAACTAACAGTCTGTATTGTGAGATCAGAGGAGCGATTGAGCAGGTCGGATGACAGGTGATGTGCGGTGAAGAAGGTGAAAGGCTGGTGTATCCAGTCGTACGTTTCCAACGTGTCATCATTCAGGAAGTACTTATTGAAACCTTTCCTGAGGTGACAGGAGATAATTCCTTTAATAGTTTGAATAGTCATGACGTCACCCTTCAGAAAGTCCTCCAGCTCTGGGAACATTTCCACATTTCCCCCATCCACTGGCACAGCCCATCATTTCAGCTTTCTCTTTCATGCTGTGGCCTTAGTGGACAGATTTGTTGTTTTGGTGAGGCCTAGTTGCGGCCAACAGTAACTGTTTTGAGTCATACAACTCCTGTTTGAGACCAACCGCTGCTGCCCTTATAATGTCCTCTCAGAAGCTGCATAAATTTTGCAGATTTATATTTTTCCAAAATGATTTGTGGACCCCGGAAATCCTCTTGCAACCCTTATTTTGGTCAGGACCCCAAGGCAGACTTATAGGTCAGAGAAAACGTACTGAATAAAATTTATTTAATATTACTTTTTTAAACAGCTGCTAAAATGCAGTGATGAGGGTGATCACACCCTAAAAACACCATAGCGAAATATGCTGATGGCAGTTTCATGCTGTGGGAAATCTTTTAATTATGAGGGACAGAGAGGCTGCTCAGAGCTGATGGGAAGATAGTCTGAAATAAATCCAGAACGGTCCTAATAGATGTTGGTAAATTGCTGAGCCTCAGGCCAACAACAGTCCCACACATATAATCATATCTGATAAAGAATGGTTTAGATCAGTGCTTTTCATTGTGGCCACCAGGGGGCACCAAGAATGCCTGAGAAAAATTCAGGGAAAATAACAGTGAATTATGCAAAAACAAAAAGACTATTTGTTTCTATATTTATCTTAAATATAATCTAATTACCTTTTAACTGATATTGTAAATTATAACTTAAAAAAATATATAGAAATGACAAATGGGATTAGGCTGAACTCTCAGGCTTTTCCATCTAACTAAGTAGAGACAATATTCCATCTGGGCTCATGGCGCTCCATGTGCCCGTTGCCTTTCACAACAAGTATTAAAAACAAAACATAGAACAGATGAACAATAGCATGCATGTGGCACTGACAGAAATTAAGCCCATCCCTCCCAATACAAACACACAGCCAAACTTGTCTTACTATCTTAGCAGGGCCTTTCCATTGACCATCAATTTCTACAGCTATTTTGGGTTCACACCTAACCATAATCCCAACCTCAACCAATTCACTGCACCATTTTCCCTGAAAATGTGCCCCACAATGTATTAAAAACAGAGGGGCACGCACACACTTTATTGTTTAGCTTTTTGTAGTGAGGACCAAGTGTTGACTTGCATTGATTTTCTGTCTTTTTCAGCTGTTTTTATGTCCTAAACAAGATAATAACCCAAAATCTAACCCCTACCAGCGCTAATCTTACCCTAACCTAAACTCAATTCATTCTTTAGTTCTTAACCTGTTGATAAACCAAAAATGAAGTAAGGGCCAGTAACATGTCCTCAATTCGGCCCAAACTGTCCTCAATTTAATGGTGAAGTCAGAAAAATGGTCCTCACTCTGATGCCAAAACAGAAGCGCATACACACCAGAGAGGTCTGATTTCTTTTGTTCAGTTCTTATCAACAGGTTTATGAAAAGTTGAACAGTGGGAATTCAACAAGTAGTCAACATTATTATGTAATAAAACGTAACAGCTACTGTATAATAAATAAAAAAAGGAATCAAAAAGCCAATTTCTTTGTCTGTTGATTTGCAAAGGTGATTCCAGGCCACTTAATGCTGTTCACCTGTTTTAGATCACAGCTGATGAACTCTGTCCTTAGGGGTTATTGCTCAGCAACCTTTGGATGTGTATTATCAACACACCTGATTTAAATAATGAAGTCATTAGCAGAACGCTATCTGTAGATTGAGGAGGTGATGTGGGGTACTGGACCAGCAGCATCTAAAAGTTTTAGTTCTCTGATCCTCCAGGATTGGCATTCAAGTTCCTTTTTTAGATCATAGTGTACCTTGTGTGTGTTTGAATGCAGACCTAAAAAGCCATTTTTCTCTTCTTCTCACATTTCTCCATCCAGTCTGACTCAACTTTCAATGAATTCCGAAGAACAACGGGCCTCATGCAAGAATCGTTCAATGGAAAAAACTTGTTCTTAAATCCTTGGTTCGAGTAATTTAGGAAAAAATGTTGCATTCAACATTTTTCTCCTATTTTCATTCTTCTCTCGGGTATGAACAATTTTACGAATGCTCCAGACTTGATGTAGTAAAATAGTTGACTGATTGAGTCTTACTCATTTTTTCTCTAAATGACCACTTTTGTTTTACTTACAAGCAATTGTCCATTTTTTTTTTCAGGGTACATTATTATATATTATGCAACTCTAAAATTATAAATGACATTCTGATTCACCGATGGTCACTACAGTTGCAGCTGCCATGTCGATATCCAGAGGACACTGGTTTCATTTCTTATTATATTTTCAAAATAAGAACAATCAGAGATCAGGCTATTGAAATAACTTCTGGAAGAGTAAATAGAAAGTTCAGCAACACTGTAAGGCATTTCACTTCATAGCAGTATCTTGGCTTTGTTATTAAACGAAATGTATTAAACATTTATATATTGTTTTTCTTTTTGTACTATTTCTATTTTATTTTATTTTTTTCTAGAACAGAGAAACATAGACATAGACAGAGTTAATGTGATTTATTTCAATGCTCCGCTTTTACTGGTCCTTTAATTCTGCTGCTCAGCTCTCAGTCAGCAGAACTTCTCCTCTGAACCAGTACAGTTCTCCTCCTCTGTCTTCAGTGCCATTTCTATGAATGAACACCATCTGACAAGCACTGGAAGCTGTAGCCCTCCCACTTAAATGTAGCCTGATATGAAACTAGTAATTATGCAGATTGACATTTCTCTGAAACAAACTCACTTATGCACATGTGGAATGTCTCATGTTTGTGAAAATAATTTACTGAAGTTAATAGCGTTTGTTGAATCTGATGTGTCACATTCATAAAAAGCCCATGGTAGGAGAAAAAGTATGGGAACTTTACAATAGGAATTCAAAAATGTTGTTGCATGAAGCCCATTGAGCCTATATTTTATGTGCAAAGCAGGTAGAGACATACCTTTCAGTTAGATTATCATATCAAATTATAATAAAATTAAAATTAGTTTTTAGTTTTAATGCCCCAAAACATGGATAACCTGAGGCTATGAAGGACAATTTTTGTCCTGGAAGGGATGTTTCCTTAGCAAGACTTGCAAATGGAAAAAAAAAAATTCCCACACTTTTAAGTACCTAACAAGATTAAACTCTAGTGATTTGTTCCAAGACATATGGTGGAGAGTAGAAGCTGCAAATTAAACACGTGGGGCTTGTATGTGGTTAGAATATGATGGAATGTAATAATCGGGAATAACCAGTGGCTACTTTCAGTTATTAGCAGAATTGAGTCTCTGAAACCTCACCGATGTTCCATAAAAGATGCAAGCGGGTTCACACAGGCAGTGACAGCACCGATGGTGAAACAGCCTTGGACACCTGGATCTGGATGGAAGAGCACAGCCTGGATAACATCCAGAACATCTGTGTATCTAAAAAAGAGGAAATGGAGTCGACCATTACAGAAGTTCCTTCAGAGCAAATTATAAAAAATAAAATAAAAATAACTCATAGCTAGTAAAGTGAAAAATCTGAAACAAATATTTCTGTTATGTTTTTATGGATCAATGTTTATATCCCATCAGATCTTCTTACCCGGGTGTTAGCAGCAACAGGCGAGTCTTGCCTTGTTTTCTGTGGCTCTCTAAGAAGCTCGACAAATACTGCTGCAAGTGTGAGGCTGAGAAGCTGTCAGGTTCATACACCACCCACCTGTGTGTGTAATGAAAAAGACATTCGGATTCTGTTTGTTTTTGTTCTGTTTTATATCTATTGTGGTGATTTTATTCATCCTGAAATCTCTTACCTTCCACCTTTCTTGTTTGGATCCACTAAAAATTTACAAAGCATGCTCTTATGGCTCCCTGGAAGTCCAGTGATTATATTAATGATAACCTGTAAAATATAACATAAAAAATATATAAATGAGTTTAGATGCATTTCTGTTTCTAAATTAAGCTGAAACAGAAAGTCAGAGAGGAAAATGAGGAAGGTTTCTTTCACTGATAAAATAAAAAATAAAATGATTATGTCAGCATTGTCACCTTGTCTCCCCTCTGATAGGCCTGGTTCCTTAATTCTGCAGAGGGGAACAGCGCCTCCAGGTGGTCGTACAGAATAGGCTCCTGACTAATACTGCTTAAAGCAAAGTGTTGAAGAAACCTAGTAGAGGGAAAAAAAAGAAAAAAAAACAACTCAGCACCAACTCAGGGGCAGAGAAACTGTGCTGCTGCCAAACATTGTTAACATAGATATTTCTGATAAATTTTGCACAAGCAAGTCTTTTTACCAGATAAGGATCTGTTAACCTTATGAAATAACAAAGGTTGACTATAAAGTTTTTTATAACCACAACCTCAGATCGTTTAAAGCTGAATAATGCAACGTATTGATTAATTTATCACTGCCTAATATGGGGATTCCAGGTGAAAATCTCTGGGTGAGGTGTTACATTATGCAAAAGTAATCTTATTTAACGGGGAATCTGAGACAGAACAGGGCAGCATAGTGTACAATTAAATAGCTATCTTAAATCCTTGTTTCCCTAATGCGAAACAAGGAAGAGGCAGCATCATGCTGTGGGGATATTTTTCTTTCTGCTCATAACTAACAGAGATGGATGAAGCTAAATACTAGAGAATATTGGAAGGAAACTTAGAAGTGCAGTAAAAATAATTGAGACTGGCGCTTTAATCTCCTCCCAGAAATATATAAACCACAAACCTGTAGCAACACCTACAATCAAATTAATTTAAAGAGAATACATACATATTCTACGGTAAATAAATCTAACTCAGAATGTGATCAAGACAAGAAAGTTGGTATTTCTCAGACACTATTAATCTAATCTGATTTAGTTATATGGCAAAGATTCAGTCTCTAGATGTCAAACTGTCAGGAAAAGCTTTGAAGACCTGCATGTGTAATCACCAGAAAATGTTCTTCCATAAGTTTTACATATATCCAGTACGTGAATACACGGCCATATGTAATAGAGTGTTATTAAAAAGATTTTGAAAAACATGAATGCTTTCTCTTCCTCAAGGTTGCAAGTACCCAGTTTAAACCCCTCACCTCTGGGTCCCTGAGCAAAACCCTTAACCCTATACTGCTCCCCGGGCGCCCCACGGTGGCACCCCACTGCTCCCCAATGGGATGGGTTAAATGCGGAGGTAAATTTCTCCAATGTAAGATCAATACAGTTCAATTACTATTAATTATTATTACACTGACCATGGAGCAGTAATGTGGCTAAATCTAAATTATTTATCATACATATGAAAGGCACCAAACCCAGAATTAGGCCCAAAATATCTTAAAATCTTTGCATGCCAGCTGTTATACTAATGAAGGATAATTCACTGTGTTTATAATTAAGCTGCAAATATTCCTACAGGTTCTAAATGCACAGTCACACTTTCTGAGCATATAAAAATTAGCTGTAATGTTTTTTTTTTAGATAAAACCTATTCATGAGTGAGCAATTCTAGAACCCAGCTCAGTGTAATCAAATAGTACTAACATTTCCAACTCTGGCAGCTTGGAGTGAGAAGTGTTTAGGTTATCTTTGCGTTTAGCAACAGGTGGCTCTTGACTGCCGTGTAGTTCCTGAAGTCTGGTGTGCCTGCATAAAACATTTAGTCATAGAATTAAAGTGATACTTTGTTTAAATAGTAATAGTTTTATTGGTAAATTTGGAAACAAAACAAGATCTTCATACATTTTTCTTTGGTTCATGGGCAGCTGCTCTTGGTCCACATGTTGCACACAGAGTCCAGTTTCAGGATTTTTCCAGGCTGGTAAAACCTACAACAAAGAAAAGAAGGTTTATCGAAATTATTTATATCTGTATCTGGAAACAGTGAGCAGTCAGCTTGAAGCTTCAGAGGCACTAAGATAGGATCAAAGTTTCCATCTGTTAGATCAGGTGTCTGCCACGTTGGCACTTAATACACCCAACAATGCGTTTGTGCCCTATTTTTTTAATTCTTTTTTATTTGCGCCAATGAACAGAAACACTGGACCCATCCTGGACCCCCAGGTAAATTTTGTCAGAACTTCTGCCGTTTTCCGTCCCACAACAGTGTCTTGACTTCTTACCTTAGCATAGAAGGCCTTGTAGCTCTTAGATCTGCACTGAAGAGCAAAGACCAGACACTGGTCAGAGCTGTGCAGAGGGAACGGGAGGTGTGGAAGCAGACTTGCCTCATACTCTACAAACAGCGACCCCACTCTAGAGAGTCCCTGGTAAAATGAGGAGGCATACATTTAATGAAATCGAGGATCAACTAATCCATAGAAAACATTTTATTTATTTATTTTTTTTAATAATAAAATGTGAAAAGGTAAAAAAAACCCCGCCTATAATGACCTAGCTCTGTGAAAGAGTAAATTCCCCCTAAACCTAGTCTTAGAAACCAGTTTTTATATCTGCAGCAACATGATTAACATGTGTGAAAGCTTTGCTAACTATAGGCAACCTTTGCAGGGTCTAAGGGGGGCTGGTGCCTGACTCCAGTAGTGACTGAACAGGAGGTGTGGAAAGAGGAGATGTCAACATGACATAAAGGATTTTGGAAAGCCAGAGGAACAAGAAGTGAGCCGGGGGTATGTGGGTAAAAAAACAGCTGTACACACCACTGCACAACCATGCAAGACAAAGTCTCTTTTCTACCTGTTTGGAGAAATTTTGCTCCGCATTTATTTGCATAAAAGGTTTCCTTTCACATTGGAGGGTCAATCCAGGGTCAATTCATTTCATATTAATTGAAAGGTAGAGTTGTTGATTGGTCTTAAGGTCAATGAAACAGCAGAAAGGTCCAAACTTTTTTCTACCACCCAGTTAAATTAGTGGTAAGATGGTAATTTTTCAGAAATGCTCATTTTAGGCTGATCTAACCCCAATTTAATGTTTCCACCTGGTCCAACTGCTCTCTCTTCAGTCAACGAAATATTTCCCCAGAGGTGATTTTCCAAGATGTTCCTTATTCATTTCTTTAGGTCTTGGAGAGCCAGCTTTTTCCTAATGTGGAACACTGAGGGCCGGATCTATCAAAGGTTTGCGTGTATAAAAACGTGAGCTATTTCACTGCGCACGCTAAAAAATGTACAAACTGATCTATCAACAGCGTGCTAAAAGGATTTGGTCTTTAAAACGTGCTAAATAGCGCCTCTTATCCATTTAGTACTTTTTCTACAATGAATATGCAATATGGGGCGTTTACACGCAAAAGTGCGTCTTGTGGGAGGAGAACATGTAAATATATTAATTTAGCACTCGCAAAGTGATTTATCAAACCTGAAAGCAATTTTGCTAACGGTATCTGACTCTATATTTAACACGTTTCAAAAGAAGGTGCAAATGGTCTGTATGCGTAATTGCGCACACATGGCAGCGGTTATTGCCGCAAGAAGGAGACATTGAAATGAAGCAAGAAGACACAGAGAACGCATTTTTTCACTCCCTGTGAATATTTTTGGAATGAAGGAGGAAACGATCATCAAAACATATCGTTTATCCAGCATTGCCATTTTGAAGCTGCAATTCCAGTGATTTGCTCCTCACAGAGCGTCAGCTGTACTTGTTCCTCAATGCTGGTCAGAGGCATCTCATCTACTGTGCCCCCTCCTGTTTTGTTCGCAGATGTTTTGTTATATGCCAGTTTTTCTTTGGTTCGCCTTCTAATATCCTGGTATCTTCTTTCTACTTCATCCACTGTTCGCAAGGTTTCACCAACAGCGTTTACTTTATTACAGATTTGTTCACATATAGCGTTCCTCTGTGTGACAGTCACACTTCTTTGCTGTAGTTCACTTAAATGTTTGTTGGCTTCATCCACCAACACCTCCATTTCCATGGGGTCGAATTTCCTTTTGCGCCTTCTGCTGTCCAAACTCGCCATGCTGCAAACCACCAAACGCGCAAAACCATCATTTAAATAGGGCGTCTCCAACAGTTTTGCACCTGCCACCAGTTACGCAATCGCTCTTGTTAAATCACCCGCAAACTATGGTTCAGCCCCTCGCGCAAAATTCCAGTTTGCGAGCGCAAATTACTGCACGCAAAATTGGAGCTTGATAAATCCGGCCCTGACTGTAAAAAAAACATATTGTTCTGGATTATTTTGTGGCCATCTGGATTAGATCTGCTCTGTTCTCTTGGAGCGATTGTGGAAACCAGGCCATTTTTGGGAGAGTTACTGTATTTTTGTCTTCATGATTACCACAAAGCCTTTATGGATCTGTAATCCTCTCCAGATTAGTAGATGTCAGCCATGTTATTTTTCAAGCTTTGATTTGTTCAGATTGGGTGATAATGTGTTGAATTTTTCAACCCTTTTTATGTATCTATCTGGAAGAAATTAGGAAATTAGGCAAGGGTGTGGTTAATAGATTTGAACAAAAATTGATTAAATATGTTAATACAATGACTGAGCACCTTACTTAAAAGTATTCATACCCTTTTTTTTCTTATAACCACCTTACAGTCACAGAATACTGTTTTTTTTTCTTGGTTTTTTACAAGTAAAAATGTGAATCAATATCTTTTTCATTTAGACGATATTAATGTTAGTCTGTTCTAGGCAATAAAATAAACTGAATCATAATCATTTTTTAAAAAAAAAAAAAAACGTGTAAAAAAGTGCCAACTCTAAATGTTACACTGAAATCAGAATAAAATGCATACCGGAGCACAAAAGCTGAGTTTGCGAATATGATTCTTTGAGAGAGTGATGGACCCAAACTGAGAGTGGATAAACAGGAGTCCCTCAGAGAAGAAAGTTATTTTACCTGCAATTAAATCATGAAACAGAAATAAGCCCATTTGAAAAAAAAAAAAAAAACTAAAAACTTAGAGGAATATAATAGAAGAATAAACTGCTTCCAAAGTTCTGCAACAGATTCAAAGGTTCACCTTCGTCAGGTGAGCAGAGATGGCCACTGGAGAGCAGATATGCAGCATCTGCTACAGTCAGACAACCTCCTAGACAACAATCACCCTCCTTCTGTTTGGGAAGCAGAAAGTAGCTCATCTTGTGTGCTTTTGTTTACATGATGAAGTAAAGCTGCGACAAAAATGTAAGTAGCTTCAGAATGTGAGGCTACTAGTCACCTTAGAGAGGCTTAGCACAGCCTGTTCAGACTGCCTGACATCAGGTTCCATCTATAAACAAAAGATAACAGGCAGAATAACTTAAATACAGCAACGAAAAACAAACTGCAGCCTGTTTTATTTTTAGTTAAACAGGGATTTTTATTGTCACACACCAGCCAGCAGGCGTAGCGAGGAACATTTGCAGTTAGGATGGTATAGCAGCTGTCTGAGGACATGGTGCCATCTACAGAAGCACAATCAGCAAAGCAACAGAGAACAAAAGCAAAAGATGAATGACAAATGTGATGTTTGATGCAGGAAACAAAGCTATTTTTAGACTAGTCTGCTGTTCCTGTGACTTCTGTCTTTTTCTGCTAACTATGGCCTGTGAATTCATAATTCAGATTATACAAATGCAATTTCCTTAGTGGATTCTATCAGTAATCTATTCCAATAACACTCATTCTAACCTAATCTAATCTAATTTTACCTCTCTGTTGAATGTTGATGCTGGACTCCAGAAAAGATTCAGAGTAGACCACAGTGCCCAAGTCTCCTCTGTTTTCCTCTAGGGCTGGGATGTCACTGACAATCAGGGAAGCCTTTAAAAGGTAGAAATAATAAGAGGATTGGAGTGCACAGTTCAAATGCAATTTAATTAAGATCCTAAGGTCTACCTAAAGCAAAAAAACAAAATAAAAAATACATATACATACATACATACATACACATA